AGGAGGTGAGGTGGAGGCGGGCGAGGAGGAGGATAAGGAGGAGAAGGATGATGATGATGATGATGATGATGATGATGATGATGATGATGATGATGATGATGATGATGATGATGATGATGATGATGATGATGAGGAGGAGGAGGAGGAGGAGGGGAGAGGAGCAGGAGGAGGAGGAGGAGGAGGGCGAGGAGGGCGAGGACGGAAGGGAGGTGTTCGCAGGGTTTGGGAACGCTTCCGCAGACCTTCGGACCCGCTCGGTGCTTGTGGAACGTCGGCGCCCCTCCAGCAGCCGCAGCTCGCCGGGAGCCTCAAGACGGTGGTGCTGATGTCCCGGTCGGCGGGGTGGCAGGGACCGTCAAGCAAAGTCTCGCGTCGGGGTGGGGGCCCCGGACGTCCGCCGTCGTTCGTGCGCTCTTGCTACAGTCGTACCCGATGAGAAGGATGGGGGAACTTGCCAATGCTTCCCTTGCGTCCGTGCCTCCTCGTTTCATCCTTGACCACTTTCGATGGCGAGTCCCGCTCGAGAAGTTTCGTCGTGGACGTCCCAGGGACTTGCATCCTGATCGCGCGTCCTTGCTGTCAGTTTTGGCTGTAACCCGGGGCCCCGACCCCCTCCCCAGGGCAGTCCTTTTTTGCGGCGGCCCGTTCTTTGGGTGGCCCCGGTGCCCAGCAGCGCTGCTGCATCAGGTGGGCCGGCGCCCCGCGGAGGGGGAGGCCTCCTCCTCGTTCGCCGCCTCCACGCCTCCTCGCCTGCTCCTCCTCTTCGCCTCCTCCTCCTCCTCCTCATCCTCCTCCTCCTCCTCCTCTTACTCCTCCTCCTCCTCGCCTCCTCCTCGCCTCCTCCTCGCCTCCTCCTCGCCAAACAAAAACCTCCTCGCCTCCACCTGTGCTGTGCTAATGGCTGTGGTTCGTCGTGCACGTGCAGCCACCTGTCCGGCCCCTCCACCTCGGCTGAGGGCCCGAGGTCGAGGGAGGTTTATTAGGGAAAATGTGAAAAGAGAGAACTCTAGCCTAGAGAGAAGCAGCAGAAGCGCTGGAGGGGGGGGGGGAGGAGGGGAAGCGCCTGTCAAGACAGTGGCGGTGGTCCAGCAGATGCAAGTTTGAGCCCGCAAGCGCCAGGGAAAGGAAACGGAGAGAACCGCAGGAACACGGGCCCCCCAAAAGCCAGGAAAAAGGAGACGCGAGAGGTTGAGACCACCAGCGAACGCTGGGCGAGGAAGAGGAAGAGGAAATCAACAAAGGGAGGGGAGCAAGGAGCGGCGGAGGCGGGTGGGTAGGTAGGTGGGCACGCGCTCAAGGCGAGACCCGTCGCCTCCACCTCTTCGCCTCCTCTCGAGGCTGGCGACGGCGTGCTCGTCTTGTCTTGCCCAAGGCGTCGACGGAGGTCTGGCTCGGGAGCTCCAGGCCCCCCGTCGCGGAGAGGCAGGCCGGCGTCCGAGGTCTGGCTCCCTGCGGTCGTGGCGGTGCTGCCCCTCCGCCGGGGGGGCGGGCGCAGGCAGACGGGTCCCACGGAACCTGGCCCGGCCAGACGGCCGTGCCATCGGGGCCGGATCGGGTCTCGTTGTTTGGTTGTCTGTCTGTTTGTTGTTTTTTTGTCTGTCTGTCCGTCTGTCTGTCTGTCTGTTTCTTCGTGTGTGGCCTGCCCCCGGGCACATGCCGTGCAGGTCTTCGACGAGCTGAGGCGTCTCCGGCCCTCCCGTGGCCTGCCTCCTGCCTGCGCCCCTCGCCCGCCTGCGCCCCCCCGGCGTGCCCCCACTTCGCTCCGGCTGCGTGCCGCCGTCGGCCTGGCCGCCTGCTGGACCCCGCTCGCCGCCGACCCAAAAGCCATGCTCTTGGGTTAGCCTTACGTCGGGCATGGCCCTCTACGGGGGGAAGATTCCCAAACACAAACCATAGCCTGGGACGATTTTTCGATGATCTTCGAGCATTTTTTGATTCTTTTTTCCCAGCCATCCTGTGGTGTTGGGTCCTCGTTTTGAAGAGACGGTCCCCGCGTTCTCCTTCTCTCCTCCTCTTCCCCCTCCTCCTCCACCGTCCGCATGCGTCCCGCACACCCAGTACAGCGTTTCGTGGCCTTCCTCCCCCTCCTCCCTGCGTTTCACCCAGCCAGTACAGCGTTTCGTGGCCCCATATGGGGGCCCCACCGAAGGTCCCAGTGCTACCGTCCGCATGCGTCCCGCACACCCAGTACAGCGTTTCGTGGCCCCAAAGGGAGCCCCACCGAAGGTCCCAGCGCTACCGTTCGCATGCGTCCCGCACCCCCAGTACAGCGTTTCGTGGCCGTCCTCCCCCTCCTCCCTGCGTTTCACCCACCCAGTACAGCGTTTTGTGGCCCCATAGGGAGCTCCACCGAAGGCCCCAGTGCCTCCGCCCGCATGCGTCCCGGAAGCTCAGTTTGGCATTTTCGCACACCCAGTGCAGCGTTTCGTGGCCCCATAGGGGGCTCCACCCAAGGCCCCAGTGCCACTGTCCGTATGCGTCCGGGAAATGTAATTTGGCATTTTCACCCGCGCAGTGCAGCGTTTGGTGGCCCCATTGGGGGCTCCACCGAAGCCCCCAGTGGGTCCGTCCGCATGCGTCCCGGTAACCCAATTCGGCACACCACCCACACAGTACAGCGTTCCCCCCCGCCCAGTGCAGCGCTTCGTGGCCCCATAGGGAGCTTCACCAAAGCAGATATTCACAATTACGGTACCCACAACTGCATATGGTTGGGACCTTCGCCAGGATAATTATCCGTAAGAGCTTCGCCCTATGCCGCCGGCCCCCTGTCTCGGAGAATGGGAGATGCAAAAGCTAAATCATGAGGTCTGGGCGCCGCCGTGAAGGAGTGTCGGGACCTGTTTGTTTTTCGACCCTGACCCTACGGATCTGCGTCACGGGTGCCACCGAATTTCAGAAATGTGGCAAATCCCTTGTGTTTTGCGACCCTGACCCTACGGATCTGCGTGAGGGGTGCCGCCGAATTTCAGAACTGTGGCAAATCCTTTGTGTTTTCGGACCCTGACCCTGCCGATCTGCGTGAGGGGTGCCGCCGAATTTCAGAACTGTGGCACATCCCATACGTTTTTGGACCCTTACCCTACGGATCTGCGTGAGGGGTGCCACCGAGTTTCAGAAATGTGGCTGTAAGTTTTTGGACCCTGACCCCGCCGATCTGCGTGAGGGGTGCCGCCGAGTCTTATAGAAATGTGGCAAATCCCGTGTGTTTTTGGACCCTGACCCCGCCGATCTGCGTGAGGGGTGCCGCCGGATTTTAGAAATGTGGCAAAATCTTATGTTTTGTGGACCCTGACCCCGTTGATCTGAGTGAGGGGTGCCACCGAGTTTCATGAATGTGGCGGATCCCATGTGTTCTTGGACCCTGACCTCGCCGATCTGCGTGAGGGGTGCCGCCGATGTCAGAAATGTGGCAAATCCCGTGTGTTTTTGGACCCTGACTGCCGATCTGCGTGAGGGGTGCCGCTGAGTTTTAGACATGTGGCAAATCCCCTGTGTTTTTGGACCCTGACCCCGCCCATCTGCGTGAGGGGTGACAATTTTTTCCCACCCCAGCAATTCAGAGCATACGATTTGGGCGTGGTAAAAATGCCCGTTTTGGGCCTCCCCCAGGGGGCAGGATTTGTCCGCTCTTGCTGGCGCCTGCAGCACAGGGCACTTGGAGTGTCGTGGTCGTCCTTCTCTCCCCCCTCCAACAAGGAGGAAGACAGATTCAGCCCGCTGGAAAGCTTCCTTAAGAGGGGGGCGCCCTACCGATTAGGCCACAGGAGCTGTGCCGCCGCATCCATGACACATCGCGCGAGCGCCATGGCTGAACTCGCCTCGCTGACGCTGCCGCGACACCATCAGGCGGACAGCAGCTGGAGGAGGAGGGCGCGGGGGTATTTTTTGTTGTGGGTGGGCTCCTGGGGGGCGCTCGGCGCCAAGGTGGGATGCGCCTCGACGTCCTGGTCGGAACACGCTCCAGGACAACCGCGCGGGAGTCTTCTTTCGGGGGGTGGGTTCCTGGGGGGGCCTTCGGTGCCAAGGGTGGATCAGGTGGAGGAGGAGGAGGAGGAGGAGGAGGAGGAGGAGGAGGAGGAGGAGGAGGAGGAGGAGTAGTAGCAGGAGGAGGGGGAGGAGGAGGAGGAGGAGAGGGAGGAGGCGAAGAGGGATGAGGAGGAGGAGAGGGCAAGTTTTTGGGGCCGATCTTGATCCGTCATGGGGGCCCGCTGCGCGGAGAAGCACGCGCGCAGGCCTCTTGCGCGGGGTCGCGTGCGAGCGCCCTCGTCTGGCGGCCTCGCTCAGTGACGTCCGGAATAGCTGCCATATACGGTCGGGCCAAGGTGTAAGATCGAGGTCGCTTCGAGGAGGTCACCCGAGCGTTCTTCGCCTTGTTGGATGTTCTTGTGCACCCCAGGGAGGGTGCCCTTGGACGTGCGTTCTGTGTGTTCTGGCCGGCGGAGGGCCTCGTGTTCTTGAGGGCTGCTCTTCTGTCTTAGGTTTGACTGTGTATCTGCAACTCCCTCCCTCCCTCCCTCCCTCCTTTGATATGGGGAAGGCGTGGGCAAGTCTACGTACGACGTGGTGCTGAAAGGCGTGCTCGTTGTGCCCTGTACTGAGACATGCGTTTTGGTTCTGTCTCTCTCGCCCCAGTCTCTCCCTCTCTCTCTCTCTATCTCTCCTTTTTTTTTTTTTTTTTTTTTTTTTTTTTCTCTCTCTCTCTCTCTCTTTTTATTTTGCGAATCCCGCCACCTCTCTCGGAACTGCACTGGCTAGTCCTCCGTGTCGCTCTGCTCTGCCCTTGCCGCGTCTGACTTAGTTGTACGGTGCCAGTTCGTTTGCCAGCGTGGGTTCCAAACAGTATGCTTTGCATTCAGGATGTGCGGGCTACTTTGTGCAACCCCCATCGTGCAATGCACATCTAGACATTTGATTGCGTATGGTACATTGCATCTGGTACAACATTGGTGGTGCAGCTTACGTGGTGGAAGCTATGTGGTGCAGTCAACGTGGTGCAAGCTATGTGGTGCAAGCTATGTGGTGCAAGCTATATTGTGCAAGCCATGGGGCGCAATAGTTCTCCTGCAATGTACGTGGTGCAAGCTATGCGGTACAACTCATCTTGCTGGCATCCGCGTGTAGCCACCTCCAATGCTTATGCAACAATCACACCCGCCCACCCGCAACTTGTTGTCAACACGCAACTGGCGTGTTGACGCGCGGGCCCTTCTCATGCAGATCCATGGCTCGGACGGGTGCGTGCTGATGATGATCATGATGACGGTGGCGCTGATGGCGAGGGCGGCGACAACGACGATGACGACGATCATGCCCATGACGACAGTTCTGATGATGGCCACGGCGACGGGTGCGATAGTGATGGGGGCGATGGTGATAACGGTAGCAATGATGGCACTCGCGAAGTTAACGATTGTGATGAGGGCGACGGCTACGATCTCGACGATGATGGTGATTATGTTCATGACGATGGTGATGGTGATGAAGATGATGGTCATGATCGTGGCAGTGACGACGCTGGCGATGATGATAACGATTGTGCGAATGAGGACGACGAGGAAGTGCGCGCGCAGGATTTCAGAAGGCCTGTCAGGCTAGTTGAGATATACATGTGTTCTTTGTACGTCTTTTGAACGCATAGGTGCTGACATTCACATATAAACCAGTTGATGTTGAAAGGTTTCCGACGTGCGCGCGAGGAGACGCGCGAGGCCCCCGGAGGCGCAGAACGAGCCAACGCCTCCCCAGACATTTCGGGCCTCAGGCCTCATGAGGAGGAGGGGCCAGGGGGGATTGGAGGGATGGGGGTCTCTCCTCCTCCTCTTCCTCCTTTTCCTCCTCCATCAGGTTGTCCTCTTTCTCGTCCTCCTCCTCCTCCCTCCCTCCCTGCTTCCCTCCCTCCCTTCCTCCCTCCCTCCTTCCCTCCCTCCCTCCCTCCTTCTCTCTCTCTCTCTCTCTCTCCACTCCTTCCCCTCCATCCCTCTTTCTTGGATGGAGATGGAGGGGGAGAAGGAGGATGAGCAAGAGGAAAAGGACGAGGAGGAGGAGGAGGAGGAGCAGGAGAAGGGATGGATGAGGAAGGGGGAAGGAGGAGGAGGACGAGGAGGAGGACGAGGAGGAGAATGAGGAGGAGGAGGAGGAGGAGGACAAGGATGAAGGAGGAGGAGGTGGAGGAGGAGGAGGAGGAGGAGGAGGAGGAGGAGGAGAAGGAGGGAACGACGACGACGACCACGACGACGACGACGACGACGGCGACGACGACGGACGGTGGACGGCAGACGGCGGACGACGGGCGACGGACGACGGACAGCGGACGACGGACGACGGACGACGATCTCCCTCGCGTCAGGCAGGGCTGGAGCGCCGCTCGCGGGGGGCCCTGTGTGCGTGCTGCCCTCAGCAGGGCCTTCTGAGTTCGCTGGGCGGGGATCACGGCGCGGGCGATAGACCCGTGGGTCGGGTGTCGGAGGAGGGGGGGCGGAGGGGGATGTGGAGGAGGCGACGAGAAAATCAGGGGGGAGGATTCGGTGGAGTAGTATTCGTCGTCGTGGTCGAAGTAGTAGTAGTAGTAGTAGTAGTAGTAGTAGTAGTGGTAGTAGTAGTCGTTGTAGTAGTAGTAGTAGTAGTCGTAGTAGTAGTAGTAGTAGTAGTAGTAGTAGTAGTAGTCGTCGTCGTCGTCGTCGTCGTCGTCGTAGTAGTAGTAGAGTCGTCTTCGTCGTCCGTCGTCGTCGTCGTAGTAGTAGTAGTAGGAGTAGTAGTAGTAGAGGTAGGATAGTAGTAGTCGCAGTAGTAAAAGTAGTAGTAGTAGTAAGTAGTAAGTCGTAGTAGTCCGTGTAGTAGTGTAGTAAGTAGTAGTGGTAGTAGTGTAAAGGTAGTAGTCGTGTATCAGTGTAGTAGTAGTAGTAGTAGTAGTAGTATCGTAGCAGTCATTAGTAGTAGTAAGTAGTAGTCGTAGTCGTAGTCATTTAGTAGTAGTAGTAAGTATAGGAGTAGTAGTAGTAAGTCGTATCGGTAGTAGTAGTAGTAGTAGTAGTAGTAGTAGTAAAGTAAGTAAGTAGTTCGTGCCTAGTAGTCGTCGTTGTAGTAGTAGTAGTGGTAGTAGTAGTAAAGTAGTAGGCTTAGTAAGTAGGTAGTAGTATAGTAAGTATAGTAAGTGTAGTAGTAGTAAGTAGTAGTAAGTAGTAGTAAGTAGTAGTAAGTAGTAGTAAGTAGTAGTAAGTAGTAGTAAGTAGTAGTAAGTAGTAGTAAGTAGCAGTAAGTAGTAGTAAGTAGTAGTAAGTAGTAGTAAGTAGTAGTAAGTAATAGTAAGTAGTAGTAGTAATTAGTAGTAAGTAGTAGTAAGTAGTAGTAAGTAGTAGTAAGTAGTAGTAAGTAGTAGAAAGTAGTAGTAAGTAGTGGTAAGTAGTAGTAGTAGTAGTAGTAGTAGTAGTAGTAGTAGTAGTAGTAGTAGTAGTAGTCAGTAGTCAGTAGTATGTAGTAAGTAGTAAGTAGTAAGTAGTA